ATGCAGCTGCTCAACGGCGCATTGGGGGAGCTGCCGCACCTGACGTGGGAGCTCTTGAGGGCGTTCCGTCTGAGGCGGGCCCGCTTCGACGAGAGCGAGGCGACGACGGCCTGCAGCAAGCTGGCGATGACGATCAACCCGCTCACGATGCCCCCGCTCGAGGACTTGAAGTGGCTGAAGGCGCGCGGAGTGGGGCACACTAAGCAGGGGATGCAGGGGGCGGGGGACGACGGCCCACGGTGTGTGGGCGACATGGAGTTGTGCCCGATCGTCGCCAGGGACGTCCGCACGGCCATGCTGCGCAACTTCGACCACGAGCAGGCCATCGCGTCCCAGGGGCAGCCCCCGCGCTCGCGGCTGGAGCGCGACCTCCAGAAGGACCTGCACGAGATGCAGAGGAGGAACTGAGGGGCCTTCGCACGCAGATCGCGCAGGTGACCGCGATGCGTCGCGCCACCGAGAGTAAGCGCGCAGCGCACATTCTCAAGGCCCTACGAGAAAGGGCAAGCCGACTGGAGTCGCCCCCAGGGAGAGCTCCAGGCGGCCGCTGAGCGCCCCCCCCCCGCCTCGCGGCAAAGCCTGCGTAGGAGAACCCACCCTGGTGGGATCGCCAACACTGGCAGTTGGTCTCATGATGGGGGGGGGGCGGCGCTCACAGGTAGAGTCAGCAGCGCCTGCGGGCGGGCCCCCTGGCTGCATTGGACCTCGTCGCCGCGCAGGCGGAGCGGGGGCGCCGCCAGGCCCCCCGCGGCCGCGCGCCGAACCCGTCGCCCGATGCCACAGAGGTTTATAACGATTTTGGTGAGGCGCTTAGGACGTCCACTCGAGGATTTCTGTTTCAGGTTTTCCAGTGGTCGATTCCAGCGACTAGCTTCGTTCGCCTCCGATGTGGGTTCAGTTCAGTTCAGTTCGGTTCAGTTCAGGAGGCAAGGAGGAGGAGGAGGAGGAGGAGGAGGAAGAGGAGGAGGAGGAGGAGGCGGAGGAGGCTGAGGAGGCGGAGGAGGCGGAGAAGGCGGAGTAGGAGGATGGCGGGGGAGGAGGAGGAGGAGGAGGAGGAGGTGGGTGTGGAGGGTGAGGAGGAAAGATTGATGATGATGATGAGAGGGAGGAGGGGGAAGATGATGATGATGTAGAGGAGGTGGGAGGGGGAGAAGGAGGAGGATGGAGGCGGAGGAGGCGAAGGAGGAGGAGGAGGAGGAGGTGGAGGTATGCGGAGGTGGAGGCGAGGCGGAAGGCGGAGGAGGAGGAGGGGGAGGTGGAGGAGGAGGATGGAGGAGGTGGAGGAGGAGGGTGGAAGGAGGAGAGGAGGATGAGAGGAGGATGAAAGATGAGGAGGAGGAGGAGGAGGAGGAGGAGGAGGAGGAGGCGGAGGAGGAGGCGGAGGCGGAGGCGGGGGCGGCGGAGGAGGAGGAGGAGGAGGAGGAGGAGGAGGATCTGGCAGGATCTGGCAGGCCTGATCACCGCAGTTGCGAGGCACGCACCGCGGCGACGAAAGGGAGGCCGCCCCTCACAAGTCGGTCTTGGGGGCGCCACGCATCTGAACCTCACGCCGGGCTGATCCCAACACTGTCGCTGGTGCTCCGTCCAGCGGGAGGTTGTGGTTTGGCCACGGCGCCACCGAGCCTGATTGTCGCTCCTTCGATCCCCAGCGTAGTAGCTAGTGACATTGGGCTCCAACTTCGCCTTCCTCTATCGTATGTAGGGTCGGCCGGCACGTCTGGTTAGAATCGGCCTCCAGCTTCGCCACCCGCTTCTCGCACTTCTCGCAGAGTTGGGGTAGCAAGTCGGGTTCCGATTCCGCCTACGGCATTTTACAACTCGTCGGCTAGCTGATGGCATTGGACTCGACCTTCGATCGCCATGCCCAGGACATCGCGCTCCAACTTCGCCCCTCGCTTCTCGCCGTATGAGTAGGACGTTTGGGCTCCATCTTCACCTCCAGCTTTCCAACTCTCGTCGGATGCAGCTGATGGCATCGGGCTCGACCTTCGACAGCCTTCGCACGTCGGGCTCTCGTCGCGTCGAGTGCAGCTGATGGCGTCGGGCTCGTCCTTCGCCTTCTTCCTGCGTCGCTCGTTGTCCCGCGTTGCCTCCCGCTTTTCGCGCGCTGATCGCACAGCGGCTCCTGGCGGATGGCGTCGGGCTCCAGCTTCGCCTTCCCACTTCTCGCACATTG